GATGAATATTGTCAAAAACTGAAGGATCTTGCCGAACAACTTGAAGACGTGGATAACCCGGTAAGTGAGACTCGTCTTGTTTTGCAGATGGTTCGTGGCCTACCGGCTGAATATGAGATAGTGGCTACATTCCTCAACCAAACCTCACCGTCATGGGATGAGGCTAGAAACCGCCTACAGCTAGAACAACATCGACAAGCGGCCCTGAAGAACCTCGAACAATCAGTTTTGGTAACTCCTCAACAACACAACACCACTACACCTCACTACCAAACTCCCGCACCAAATTACCAACCCAACTCTTAGCCTCCGCATGACCCCAATCACCAACAATACTACCATCAAGACACCAACAGAGGCCGCGGTCGCGGCCGTGGTTCAAACTGGCGCGACGGTCGTGGTCGTGGGAAGGGYCGTGGCTCGGGCCAGCGTCCACAATCGGGTCAGTGCTGGTACAATGGACCCACTCCCTACAGTCAGTGGAACCCGCCCCCATCTCCCTATCCCTCACAGCCGTGGTATGGGCCTCATGCCCAATTCGGTAACCTAGCTTCAGCCCAAAAACCCATCTACCCGAACTACCCACCTGTTGGCCCCTACTTTCCTCACCAAAGCCCATATCCTAATACTGGCCCTACTCCCTCTTCGGCTCACTTCAACCAACAGGCTGCGCTAAATGCAATGAGCCCAGTGGATCCATTCTCTCCACCAACACAAGCCCTTAGCACATCATCTTCTGCTCCTCCCTGGCATAACCGTCTTCGGTCACCCTGGTGCTAATATATTAGATTTTCTTTCTCGTCATGTTATTATTGATTGTCATAAGACTAGTAATTCTTTTGTGTGTCCGTCATGTCAACTTGCAAATAGTAAACGGTTACCTTTTTTCGAGTCTAGTTCCATTACTTTTGCTCCGTTTGATTTAATTCATTGTGATTTGTGGACCTCACCTGTGTTGAGCAATTCTGGTTATAAATATTACATGGTTTTAATTGACAACTTTTCTCAATACGTTTGGATATACCCTCTTAAATATAAATCAGAAACCTTTTCCACTTTCGCCAACTTCCACAAACTCATTCGCACCCAGTTTAACCGTGTCCTTAAAACCCTACAATGTGATTTAGGGGGGGAATTCGATAACAACTTCAAAACCTTTGCTCAAACCCATGGTCTCATTATGCGGTTTTCTTGCCCACAAACCTCCCCCCAAAATGGTAAAGCCGAGCGAATGATTAGACGACTGAACGACATCATCCGCTCTCTCCTAATCCACGCCCACATACCACCTACCTTTTGGGTGGAAGTCCTTCATACGGCCACATACTTACACAACATCCTCCCATCCAAACGATTGAGATATACCACTCCCGCCTACATCTTCTTTCACCGTCATCCAACATACGACCATCTACGTGTTTTTGGATATGCGTGTTACCCAAACACTTCCGCCTCTCAACCCCACAAACTTCACCCCCGTTCTATTCGATGCATTTTTCTTGGCTATCCACCCGGTTATCGTGGTTATCGTTGTCTCGATCCCACCACGGGACGTGTCCACCTATCTCGTCACGTAATTTTCGACGAACACACTTTTCTGTTCAACCACCCGTCCACTCCTACTACCTATACTTTTCTTGACGAGGACCCATCCCTTCTCCCATCACCCCAACTGTACCCTACTGTGCCAATTCTACAAACCACCCAACCCGATCCTCCTTTGGCCCAACCCTCCGGCCCACATCAGCCCACTTCACTGCTGCCCACATCTACCCCTGCCCAGTCCGTACGGCCCAACTCCCCTTTGCATCCGGCCAGCCCACTAGAACCTTCATCACCCCAACCTACTGTTCCAGCAGCTACCTCAGTCACCCACCCTCCACCGCCCCTTAACACTCATTCCATGACCACCCGTGCGAAACAGGGTGTGTTCAAACCCAACCCCAAATATTCCTTATCAACCACCCACACCTTAAATAACATCTCACCCGTACCCACATCCTACCTTAAAGCTTTATCGGATCCGAATTGGCTACGTGCCATGAACAGTGAATTTAGTGCTTTGCAAGAAAATCATACGTGGGATCTCGTTCCCAGGCCATCGGATAGCCCAGTGATTAGATGTATGTGGCTATTCCGACACAAGTTCAAGTCCGATGGCACTCTAGAACGGTACAAAGCCCGTCTGGTTGTTAATGGTAAATCAGAGACGGTGGACATCGATTGTCATGACACGTTCAGCCCGGTGGTTAAACCGGCCACTATACGAACAGTGTTGAGCTTGGCCGTCTCTAAACAGTGGCCGATACATCAGTTAGACGTTAAAAATGCTTTTCTTCATGGGCATCTTGAAGAAACGATTTACATGCATCAACCACCGGGATTCGTTAACGCGAATGCCCCCTCTCATGTCTGCAGACTCAAGAAGTCTCTTTACGTGTTGAAACAAGCCCCCCGGGCATGGTATACCAGATTTTCTACGTTTCTTCTATCTCGGGGATTTCGTAACAGCATCTGTGATACGTCACTGTTTATTTACCGCCAAGGGGGGCGCATGGCATACTTACTTTTATATGTGGATGACATCATCCTAACTGCCTCTGACAGCTCTTTATTACAGCATATTATTACTCTTCTCTCCGGCGAGTTTGCTATGTCCGACCTCGGGCCTTTACATCACTTCTTGGGGATCACGGTTAAAAGAGACAGCTCCGGATTGATTTTATCTCAGACCCAGTATGCTAGCGATATTCTCCACAGGGCTGCCATGTCATCATGCAAACCATGCGTTACACCGGTTGATACGTCATCCAAGCTCAGTGCCTCCGATGGTGCGCTTCTAGCCGACGGCACCCAGTACAGGAGCCTCGCAGGTGCACTACAATATCTTACTTTTACTCGCCCTAATATAGCATATGCAGTACAACATATCTGTCTATTTATGCATGCTCCTCGCGAACCACACTTTGCATTCATGAAGCGCATCCTTCGTTATATCCAAGGCACCCTTGATCATGGTTTGCGCATACATGTCTCCCGCGCTTAGTCCCTCATAGCGTATTCTGATGCCGACTGGGGCGGATGTCCAGATTCCAGACGCTCAACATCCGGGTACTGTATTTTTTTGGGAGACAACCTTGTCTCATGGTCCTCCAAACGGCAACCCACCATTTCCCGATCTAGTGCTGAAGCCGAATACCGAGGTGTCGCCAACACCGTTGCCGAAGCAAGTTGGCTCTGTAACCTACTTTTAGAGCTTCATGTGCCTATTTCTAAGGCCACTATTGTCTACTGTGACAACGTATCTGCAATTTACCTTACTCAGAACCCGGTTCAGCACCAGCATACCAAGCACGTTGAAATCGACATACACTTTGTTTGGGAAAAGGTGCAAATCGGCCATATTCGTGTGCTACACGTTCCTTCATCTTCTCAATTCGCCGATATATTCACAAAAGGGTTACCTAGACAATTATTTCAACATTTCAGATTCTGTCTCAACGTTCGCTCTCCTACCGTTCAGACTGAGGGGGACTATTAGAATGTATTTATAGTATAGATTGTATAGATATTCTAGATTATTCGTTTTCTTGTTTATCTCTTGCCTAATATTGAGGCATTGTAACTATATATATTGTATGCTTGATTCATGGATTGACACAAAGAAAATTGTGGGTCTTTGGAAACTTTTACCCTTATCCATCGAGTTACAAGTAACACTCCATCTAATCCAAGTAATCTTCCTTCCATGGGTACCTCCACCCCATAAGAATTTGTTCCTATGCTCTTAAGAGAGTTAATCATACAATCGGGAGCCTTAAAGAGAGAAAGCAAATAGACTCCCAAAACTACCTAGAACCGACTTGCAGAGGATCTTCCGGCCACCGAAGGATAGAGCCTTAGCCTTCCAAGAGGAAAGCTTCTCATGAAACTTAGAAATCAACTTAGACCAATTACAACGCCTACTCATTTGAGCACCCACCGGAAGGCCCAAATACATGAAAGGTAACGACGCAAACTTACAAAACATTATCCGAGCAAGGAAACCGGACTCCCCTTCCGTAGTCCCAATACCATAAAGACAACTTTTATGAAGATTAATTTTTAAGCTAGATGATAAGAAAAAACACCTTAACAGATGAATAAGATTAGTCCCATTAGACAAGGACCAATCCCCCAGAAAGACAACATCGTCAGCAAATTGGAGAAGCTCTAAGACGGGGCCGCCACGGGGAAGAGAAATGCCAGAGAAGAGGCCTTTAAACTGGGCTTCCAACATAGCAACACGGAGGGCCTCCTTAGCAATGACGAAGAGGAATGGGGCAAGTGGATCGCCTTGCCTCACCCCCTTTTCCATTAAGAATTCCTTCGATGGACTACCATTAACAAGAATAAAGACACTCGCGTTTGAGAGTAACCCACGAATCCACTTCCTCCAAGGGAGACCAAACCCCATCTGGTTCATAACATCATCTAAAAAACCCCAATTCAGGTTATCAAATGCTTTTTCAAAATCAGCTTTAAAAATCAGAACTTTTCGTTTCGACTTCTTCGCCCAGGAAGCTAATTCATTAACAATCAACGGGCCGTCCGGAATACAACGACCTTTGATGAAGGCCGATTGCTCTATGCCAATAATCGACTCCAAAACTCCTTTCAGTCTTTCCGATAAAACCTTAGAAATGATCTTACATACACAACCAATTAAGTTAATCGGTTTATAATCTTTGAAAGAGGTAGGATCACATACCTTCGGGACCAGAGTGATGAACGAAGCATTACATCCCCTTCTTAAAACTGCATTATGTTCAAAGGATTTGACCGCCTTGAAAATATCATCACTGAGAATATCCCAATTTTTTTTAAAGAAAGCGAAAGAGTAACCATCGGGACCCGGGGCTTTTTCGTTACCACAACTCCAAACAGCCGCTTTAATTTCCTCCAAAGAAAACGACATTTCGAGCAAATATTTCTGTTGGGACGATAATTTATTGAATATATCACTTCTGAATTTCGGTGCAAGCCACATCTTCCGAGAACTTACGCTTAAAGAATTCGTAGGCCGAATTTTTAATGCGAATCGGGTCTCTAATCCAGCTGCCGTTTTCGTTTATACCAAGAATGTTCGATCGGCTGTACTTACTTCTGAGAATTCCGTGAAAGAATCGAGTGTTCTCGTCACCTTCAAGATCCCACCTCGCTTTCGCCTTTTGCTTAAGATCACAAAGCTCTGCTTCGTCAATTTCTAATACACGCTTCATCGCATCAGCTCTGGCCTGTACGTCTGCGTCCGTAAGAACTCTGTTCATGGCACGAGCATCAAAATCATCGATTTTTGATCTGAGGGCAATTTTCTCAGCTTTTCCCGACTCCATTTTAGCTTTCCTCCAGGCCTTAATGCCAGATTTCAAATGTTTGAGTTTGGACATGAAAAGCTTGATGTTGTTACTGTTTGCATCCACATTAGTATTCTTGATCCATCCATCCTTAACCAACTGCACAAAATCAGCATCATGAAGCCAAGAATTATATAATTTAAAAGGAATAGGACCGAAATCCTCTCTACATCCGTCTAATAAAACGGGGCAGTGGTCCGAATATAAAAATGGTAAAGCAACCACCGAAGCTTTAGGCCAAATGTCAAGGAAATTATGGGAGACCAGAAATCGGTCCCACTTACTCCATTTGCTACCGTCGGCACTTTTCCTTGTGAATTTACGACCCCCCATATTGAGATCTAAAAGACCATTAGAAAAAATGAAATTGTTAAGATCCAAAGCACTGCCGGAATCAAAGTCAGACCCAAGTCGTTCATTCGGGCGTCTGACAGCATTAAAGTCACCACAACAGAGCCAAACATCCACAACTATGGACTCCAACAAGTCCGAAAGTTTAGACCATAACGCGGCCTTTTCGCTAGAGTCTTGCGGCGCGTAAATATTACAAATGCCCAAGGTAACACCGTTGGGGCGCCAACGTCCAGCCACAATAAGATAATTCCTGCCGGAGAAGGAATCAATCTTATCGAACAAATAATTATCCCAAAAGGACAAAAAACCACCAGACCTTCCGCAAGGATCGACCGCTGCCATATCAACCTTCCTACTACCCCATAAGGAAGAACGTAAGATCTCCTTAGGCATCGAGAGTCTCGATTATTGGATACAAAGGAAACGGTTTACCGAGACGGGCTTTTGTATCTGTGATTGGAACTGGCCCAATTTAGTATGAATCGATGATGTCTTCGAAAAAGGCAAATTAACCACGCGATCGGCTAATCGCCAACGTCCACCACCGCCACCGGCCAATCTTATAGCGGAACTGCAACGCCCTTGGAAAGTCTGAGCCAATTCGAGGTTTCCATACGCATCAAAGCCTTCGAATCTGAACTTACTTACAGGTTTCATCTATGCTTTTACTTTCTAGGGTTTTTTTTTTCATGCCCACAAACTGTTCGATCATATTACTCAACTAGACCTATGGAACACCATGCCTAGATGCTCAGCTGCAAGCCCAACCATACATGGTCGCTTCGCTTTATGCCCAGATTGAAAAACAGTAGTACAATACATTCAGCCTTATCATTACGTATTTGATCGAGCTTTCATCGTTAAATGTCGATTGTACTACTATAATTCATGCAAAACAGGGACAAACCCATAAAAAATTTCAACGTTGGCACCATTTGACTATAAAAAACAAATATAGTGATATTTTTCACAAAATCGTCATTGGTCTATCGTTAGTTCGTTACTTTTCGTATTTGAGGTCTCCTGTTCAAGTCTTTTATTGCAATTCTTTTTCAAAAACATGGTATGATCTGAAATTTAAAAAGTTAAAAACAAAGAAAATGAGACTAACAAAATTTGAACTTGTGTTTAGGGTGGGAGAACAATCTTGCAAAGTGACACACAACAAATTAATACGGTAACACTTTTCACGACCCTAGAATTTTTACACTACGAAGGATGATATGTTTTACATTGGGTCCGTCCATGATGCAAAAAAACTGTGAAACGTGGGTCCAACCCAAGATTTTTCACTAGCGGATGCAGTGGCGGATCTAGAACCTATTATGGTTGGGGGCACACTTAGGAGGGTCGAAAAAATTTCGAAACCGAACAATTCATCTGAACCAAAAAAGGTTTCGGGTTTCCATTTTCAACTTAAACTGTTTGGTTAACCGAATAAAGATAACTGATGAGGTTGAAGTAAGCTAGGATGATATTCCGAAATCTTTTTCCTATCAGCTGGATCCCAAGGAAGATCGTTCAAATCAATTTCGTAAGGCATCGAAGGAGCAGAGCTCGATTCAGGTGTTGATGCTTTCCTTTTAAAAAATCTTTCAATTTTTTTCTAGCAATAACAATAACAAGATAAAAATAAATGGTTTAGTAACATTTTTATTTGCCTGCAAAATTAACCTAACATTTGACATTTTCATGGACCATTTGACTTGCCTACAAAATTAACCTAACCTAAAGCATTTAGCACCAAATCACCAATAAGCAAAGTAGCAAACAACAAAATCTAAGAAGTATTTAAAATTAAAGACTGGATCAAAGAAGTAATTAAAATTAACCTAACCTGAGGACTGAGGCAGCAGCCAGCAGCGATGGGCCGCCGATGTCCGATGAAGATTGTTAGACTTAGATTGATGAAGAAGAAGTGGCGTCGCGTAAAATTAACCTAATCTCGAGTCTCGTCTGTCGTCTCAGACTCTCAGTCGTCTGCGGTCTGTCGTTCGTACCTCCTTTGTCTCTCTCGTTTGTCGTCTCGTCTGGGCGTAAGTTTAGGAACTGAGGCGTGAACTGGTGAAGACGTGAAGTGAATGAGGGGGCCTCTTACATCATGGTGTTGGGGGCCCAACTGTACTTGCTCGTCGGTTTATTCAACCTTAGATTCCAACACAAAAATAGAACTCGGCGCAAGTATACACCTYGAACTAYTKTCRTCTCGTAACAAGTAATAATGGTAAAAAGTACCAGATTTATCGTTCCCACAGATATAGCTTGTAAAGTTAATTCAAAAAATCCAGTTTATAAAAACTAATTTCAGAAGGCGAAACGAGAGATTTGATTTATCTAAAATGGGGAGATTTGATTATCAACTAAGAAAATATCAATCTTAAAAAGAAGCACAGGGTGCAACAGTTGATTAAGACATTAAACAGATGATTCAGTAAAAAGGTGACATAGCATTCCTGTCATAATTATCTAAAATCAATAAATGATTTTATATTACTATGACA